GTTTATTCATTCTATACTTATAAAAACATGGTAATGCACGGACTTTTTCTATTTTTCTTTCATGTTCTCTTATCTAGTGACAGTCAATTTTGTTTATGAATTGTCAGATATCCTTTCACAGTCCCATACAACAACTTTTGGTCTTCAAAGGAATTATTAGTGAGCAGAAATTCTCCCATGTATCTGTTATCACCCGTCACGTCAGTCAGTTAAATAGAGGGATAACCCGTGCTTTCCTTTTGCGTTCGTCACTTCCTATTGTAGAAACATTGATTACTCATCTATCGTAGCAATGATCTCTGTGATAAAATAATAATTGGAACGTGTTTAACCAGTTCTATCACATATGTGATAATGACTGGCACCATTATTGTCCTTTAATTGTAGTATAGAAATGTCGAAATACGACCACAAATCAAGAAATAAGAATTAAGGGCTATGGATTAAGAATTAAGAACACTTAAAGAGCTGTTCGTTCTTCCATACTATTAGTTGTGATAGCGAAGCCGTAATATACCTCCAATAGAAAAAAAAACACACTAGGTCGATGTCTATTTGTAGCTTTGCTTTTTACTTCCGGAATCCGAACAGCAGTTAATATTTAAAAAAATCAACCAGGCTACTGCACACAACACATACTTCCGATAGCAAAAACGAACGAGGACGAGGTCGGTCTACTTCTAGTTTTGTTTTTTACTTCCCGAGTCAGGACAGCAGTTAAGATTCAAAAATCAACCAGGCTACTGTGCACAACAGGTAATATTTGATATTCCAGTGATTTTAAAGATTTTCATTCAAATCGAACAATGCATATGTTAGAATGTTTAGTGTCGTACAGTCACCTAGTGACACATTTTGCAGCTGTTATAAAACTAGATCACCTTGAGTTAAAACTAGATATGCAACTTGAATGACGCACTTAAAGCAAACTGACTGGTTAAGATACTTATAGCTCTGTTAAAAAGTGTATTAACAATTTCCCAAGAAACATTATTTGATATATAGGCCTATAGCATAGATTTATTTACAGAGATGGGAGTTGGATTGCCGAATGGCTAGCCCGTGCGCGCTGTATCATACAGTCGGTCATTGATTGAGTCAACTGACATGGTTTCGATTCCCCGGTTGTACCCCCATATCAGTCCATTCAATAGTGAATAGAGAAAGCTATATAATAGAGATAGAAAATTATATTATAGCAATGTTATGCATTAATACGTTACACACGGAGGTCATAAAATAGGCTATAAAGTGGATGGATCTATGTATAAATATATATATTATACACATATATATATATATATTATATATATATATAAAGTAGACGGATCTCTAGGTTCACAGTGTGTGTGTGAAATACAAGATATATATATATATATATATATATATATATATATATATATATACATACAGTATTATACAACAAACTGTGCGTGACATATATATATATATATATATATATATATATATATATATAATATAATATATGTCACACAAAGAGATTACCTACAACAATTAACAATAGAACGGCTAAACCAACACTACGTCTATGCAAGCCATGCCAATGTGTTGGAGAGAGAGAGAGGGAGAGAGAGAGTGTACCGTCATATATTATATGAACAACTATATTCTAAGCATGTCTAGTTTACATAACATCGTACCATGTAGTTTGTATAACGTATTATTGAATAAAAGTACAGCTGTCATATAGCAATCTGCAAAACACGTAACAAAAATCGTTTTAAATTAGATTTGTCATCGATTTACGTGCATGTTGTAGTTTCCATACCACTCCTAAGGTTGTATTTGACACACGGGGGCGGGGGGGGGGGGGGTGGTTAGCACGTGCGCGCTGTATCATAAGGCCTGTCATTGAGTCAACTGGCGTGGTTTCGATTCCACGGTTGTACTTGACACAGCGTGACAAGAAGTAGGATCGCCTGTCCAACCTCGTAGGTTTTCTCCGGGTCCTTCGGTTTCCTCCCACTGCTAAAGACCCCGACGCGCAAGCGAATTATGGAAATAAAATTGAACCATATGTTAGTCTCGAAATGACCTAGTTTGTGTCGAGTGGACGTTAAACCACATCTCTCTCCCCGTCTCTCTCTCTCTCTCTCTCTCTATCTCTGATCAACAGCACGTCTGTTATATATATGTATGTGTGTGTATACTTATGGGTGTGCCTGGTTGGTGTGTACATAGCGAGACATTAAATAAAATGAAATGATATGAAAGAAGGTTTGAAAATAGGCAAATAAAGACCGACCATTATTTGTGATTGTGTATAACGTCGCTTTTAATAGTAATTGTCTTCCGTATTGTGGTCGCGTCACGCACTACTTAGTTGGGGGATTTCCCGTGAAACCCCCCGATACGCATGCCAGCTGTATCGGTATGGTATTTACTGAATGGTAACAAAATGTGCGTTAAAATGTGATAGTATATTGCTGTCGCCCCTGTCCGTCGACAGATCCGTCCGTCCGCATATCCCTGGGGTAATTTCTTGTGAACACTGAACGGACTACATTTATTATGCGATCTTTTGAAAAAAAAGATGTTATCAACATTAGCCTGATGACGATTTCAGCTAATAACTTCCACAGTTATTGGCCTTGATGGATTTGTGGATTCGCGAGAGAGAGAGAGAGAGAGAGAGAGAGAGAGAGAGAGAGAGCATTACTATAAGTGAAATATAATTAACATATTATGGTTCAATTTTATTTCAATAATTAACTTGCACGTAGGGGTCTTTGGCAGTGGGAGGACCCGGAGAATACCCACGAGCAAGCGAGGAATCGAAACCACGCCCATTGACACACTGACAGACCTTGAGATCTAATGCGTACGCGTTTATCCATTTGTAGTTTATACGTACATTGTACTGGGTATAAGCAACTGAAAGGAGATTTTACGTCCCACCTTTCCGCACCAACCGGGGAAATAAAGATCAATCAACTGTCTCGCATCGAGCTCTAGCTGGTGAGTTGTGGTTTCGATCCCTGATCTGAGCGTATATAAGTTGGGTACTCCGGTTTCCTCTCACAATAATGACCCCTGCGCGTGCGCTAAGATAATAAAAATAAAACAACTTTTCTGCGATATCATCCTCGGTGGAAGAGGAAGACACTTACTAGGAATTTTGTGTTCCGACTTGAGGTGGATTTTGAGAGGGGATTTCCCGTGTTTCTGTTATAGAAATCTTTTATTTCTTAATAATGTTAATCAGGAAGTAAAGAGACAGTATTGTGAATGTGATAAATCACGTTGGGTCAGCTTTAGAATTTAGTATTATATAATATTACTTTAGTATTACTTCAGATCCTTGAAAAGTTCCCCGTTGTTTGAACACATGTTAATAGCAGTTTCCTATCTCTCCCGTGGGTATGATTTTTTCTATTTTCTTAGGCAGTATAAATTGTTTCTGTTTTCCAAGGTATTATAAGCGGCCGTGTTTGCTAAAGGTGCTATTCTATATCACTGTGGTAAACTACAACTTTATGGATAACATTCACTAGATTTATTAACTGCAACGTTTCAATGAGGATACTCTCACCGTTATCAAGCAACGGGCTGTGGTAGTTTTAAAACTAGCGATATTTCGTTGGAATTGGATACAATCAAGGTTTGTCGTCCCCGATGGACGCTATTAAACTTGAGATGTTTAGCAACACGATGATAAATCAAGGTATGTCTTCCCCGATGGACACTATTAAACATTAGTTGTTTAGCAACGGGCTTAGAATATATAATGATAAATCAGAGTTTATAGTTTTGGGTTATAATCACAGAATAAAGTTGAAGATGCAGGCCTAGTTGTGAGATTTTCTTAATGGATGGATATCTGAGTTCTAATACAACCACTGTTTGCAGCAATAAGAAATACATAGCTAAGTTGACAGAGATTCTTCTTTGTAACTGGCTAAACATACATTATACAAGAGCTAAATCTGCTTATTGCAGATATTTCTTTAGGCCTGAAATGTTATCTAAATTATTAATTACACATTAATTAACTTACAAGACCATAACTCTCGATGTCATCGCTAGTGGATAATCGAGATTTTGTTGCTTTTTTTTTATCGTACTGACTTTAGTAATGATGATCGAGGTTAAGCCTAAAATTCAATCGGTAATATCTCGGTTCAGAGCGGAGCAATTTGACTTAAATTTTCAGCAAATTCCCTTTACATTATCTAGTTTTTAACTATTATACTGAGAACTGTCAGCTCTTTATCTAATCTCCCATAATGTATCTTTAATGCTTGGACTTTTTACACGTTGGTTATTTCAATAGACTATGCCAGTCGAACCAACAATACCCTACTAAGCTATCTCTCCAACGAATACAAAATTACTTTGGGTGTGTTTTTATGTTTTCCTCGTTTTGATATTCCACTATAAGAGTATGAAACCGGTTGTGTTCTGATTCCTAGAAATACAAAAAAAGAAAAGAAACAATATCAGATGTTCTTATTCTATTTCTTTGTTCTGTAGATGGGACTTTGCACTTTGCCATGTTAGTCGAGTGATGGGGATCGTGTTGGTCTAGTGTTGAGGTTCGTGTTAGTGACGGGGGCCGTGTTAGTCGAGTAATACTTAGTTGTTCGGATGGGACGAACAGTCAGGAGAGAGAGAGAGTGAGAGACCGGGAACATGGCTATAAGCCAAATGGTGTTTAACGTCCACTCGACACGAACTAGGTCATTTCGGGACTAACATATTGTTCGCCAATATCTCATTGACATACCATGAGATCTAATGCGCATTTGCCCCCCCCACCCCTCTTCCCTCTGCCCTTTGCCCTTGAAACCCCCTACCCCCCCCCCCTTTCCCCCAACCCCAACCCGAGCAATAACATGTTAGACGTATTTTACCGAGGACATTTTAAACCACGTGCTTCAGCCACCTGTCGACAGAGGAGTTTGAAATAACTAGTCAGTAATCAATCTGTCCTTTTCCTTGTATAAAATGACACACTTTTGTTGTTTTTATCTTTTCAGTAACCTAACCCTTGTTTAATATGTTACTTCCGGTATATTAATGTCTGATATTATATGATGATCGATGAGAGACGGACTATTAGAAATATTATATTAACTACCTCGTTCGCTTATACTAGAGACAATATCATAGGTAGCGGAGCTTCTTCTATTGTTTATTGTGCTGTACATCGGGTAAGTTATTAATATAACCTGTTTATTGTGCTATACATCAGGTAAGTTATTAATATAACCTGTTTATTGTGCTATACATCAGGTTAGTTATTGATATAACCCGTTTATTGTGCTGTACACCGGGTAAGTGATCAATGGCAGTTCTGGATAATGAAGACGGGCATACACCATACAGTGTGCTTTGAGAGAAATTTTGCCTGGACAGCGGCGCTATCACTTACTATTATATAGAACTCCAACTGCCAAGGGTGTTTTTACGTGCACGTCAATGTATATACGGGACCTCTGTTTTTCGTCCCATCCGATTGATTAGATAACTGTCCTTGTCAGGCCCTCCGTCCTGCACCACGCCGGCAAATGAGCAGGGGTGGGGTGGGGGGGTTGAGGGTCCGCACACGCGACTGAAACCCTACTGTTCTTCTTGTTCATGAGCATGCCGCTCTTCGAAAACAAAAAAGTCAAAATTTCCGTCAATTCAGGTACTTCGACACGGCACTTACACGTGATGAAAACTACGAAGACACTGAAATATTTAGAATGTGATTGCCTTCTACATTACTGGATATGGGGCTATGACAAAACATCTTCCAGTCATAAACTAAGTAGAATGTAATGGACATCTACAGTACTGGATATGCGACTATGACGAAACATCGTCCAGTCATAAACTAAGTAGAATATAATGGGCATTTACAGTACTGGATATACGACTATAAAGACTGTATATACGACTATGACGAATCGCAACTATCTCAATGCGTTAAAGAACGCTGTGTTTATTATTTCAGAAAACTGGCCAGACTGTAGCGGCTAAAGTTTTAAAAGATCATTCTAAAGTCAATCTACAAGATCTACAAAGAGAAATTCTTTCATTAGGTCAACTGAATCATCCAAACATTATCAAATTCTATGGCGTCGAAAAAGAGGTAATGGGGTTTAAAGTCCACTCGACACAAACTAGGTCATTTGTGACTAACATATGGTTTAATTTTATTTCAATAATTCACTTGCACGTATTAGTCTTTTGTAGTGGTTTGAAACCTGAGGTCCCGGAGAAAACCCACCAGGTTGGACATGCGACCCTACTCCTTGTCACATAGAACCGGGAAATCGGAACCACGCCAATTGACTCAATGACAGACGTTATGATATGCGCTAACCATTCAGCCCCCCCCCCAGCCCCTCGCGGAAAAAGGAATATCAGTCCAAAAATGGGTCGGTTATATACTAGGGCTGGCTGAAAAGTTCTCAGTCTGAAAGGATAGATCAATTGGGTTGAATCAAACTTTTGCCACAATCATTGAATGAATCATAGACATAAGAACAACAACTGTGGTGTTATTATTGTCTTCATACCAGACCATCTTGTGAACCTACCAATTGAAATCTCCAGAAATGAGTAAAATTGGATATAGAGCTGTCACCAAGTACCTGCAACTGAAAGGACTAACCCCAACACACAAACATGCCGAAATGTTCTCCACTTAAGGGGAGAACGTCCCTTCCTTTTCCACAGTACAGAAGTGGGCTGTGGAATTTAAGCGTGGTAGAGAGAGTCTTGAGGGTGATCCGCGTCCTTGACCCGAGTTCACAAAGTATGCTCAGACTTAAGTTAAGAATTTACTCAACGTTTCTTGACAAAGTGGCCGCGCCTTTACAATAGACATTTCGCAGACATCGGCGGAGTAACTCTTAGTGGAAAATTGATTGTTTGCGGGGGTGAGTATTATGGCCCGATACGAATCAAACGCGCCCTCAGTTTTACGTTCACAAACTGTTTTTATTTCAGCTTGATACTGGACGACAAGTCGTACTTCTACAGTACTGTCAATCAAGTCTTCATTCCTTCCTCCAGGAACCAGAAAATGTTCACGGTATATGTGACATCGAACTGATCATTCTCTTCAAAGATTTATGTAAGTATGTCAGGGCATGTCGATTACAATAAACGAAGTGAAATGAAATGGGGTTTACTGTTCTGCTCCGATCTGGCATATACGCCACACAGTGTACTATGAAGGACATTTTGCCAACTTTCTTGGCCAACGCGGGGATCGAACAAGGGACCTCCAAGTTTGTGAGCTAACGTCTTACTCACTGAGCCACTGTGGCATGGAATTACAGTAAAAGAACATAATATACCCAAATAACACATAACTGCTGTATGGGCGCATACATGATTTGTGTAGCTATCTGCCGTCGCTAAAACTAAAGTCTGTATTTGTTTAGGTTTGCTATGTGTGGGAACAATGTAACACAAGGCGTGTATCGGTAATCTAGGGGGAGGGTACCAAATTCGTAAACGAAAGTCTTAAGATTTTACCATTTTTCAAAATTTTCCTACGGACGTGATAATTGTGCCACTAGTTTGGTAGCTTGTTTTAGCTATTAAGCTTGATAATGACTAGAGAAGCCTAGTCGAAACGTCGCTCAGTAAAAAGCAGTAATTGTATTCCATAGAATTGTGACCTGTATACTCTAGTTCAATTACTAAATGCCATTGAAACAGTTTATAATAATATTTCTCTATCTGTTTCCACCAGGTTCGGCTTTATCTTATATGCGCACCAGAAACATCATACACCGTGATATAAAGCCAGGCAACGTACTCAGATATACGGCACCAGATTTAAGGTAAGATGGCACCGGATATGACGCCAATACACATATGACTTTTGCTATGTCTTTTATATGATTTTCGATGTCTCAGAATTTAAAGATAAGTTTCGAAAATCAAAAATGGCAGCAACGGATGTTAATTTAATCGTCATTTTTTTCTATTAGATATTACTTGTAACTTATCATTTACACGGTTCAAAAATGAATCCATGGTGGCAGAAATTCAAAATGGCCGGCAAAATTTAATCCAATAGTGGAATGTTTGTAATATGTTCAATCGTTAATCTTGATAGTAGAAATTCAAAATGGCCTAAAAAATGAAATCTTAATTGGCGGAATTTTAATTAACCGTCATTTAATTTTTGTCCCTTTGATATAGCTTGTTATATGTCTTATATATGGGGTTGGTGGTTGTTGGGTTCAATCTCTATCTAAAAAAACTAATTAAGAATGGTCCAGATGGTGTAAATTTAAAACGACGATCAAAATAGAAATCAAAATAAGGATTTTTAGGGTTACTGAATTCAATATTGGCTTCAAAACCTAATTTCAGATAGGATTATCACACACCAAATTTGTGCGTAAGCCAGAACCACCAGGACAAATTACAGAAAACATTTTTTATGTTCAGTTTATAAAAGTAAAGAGAGAACCCCACCGGACCCCCAATAGAGTGGTTACCCCTTGTGAGACCAAGTGTTAGGACCCTGGGACCCCTAGTGTCCATTGCTTGTGAACAACTGTACTACTGTGGCAATCACAAGTGCCTGTCGTGAAATGAATAATATACCGAAATAAACCCCTGATAACTATCGGTCTTGATACAACCGGGTTTCGAGTAGTTCAATGTACTCTTTGGTTCAGATAGAGTCTCTAAACCATGACGTACCCTGTAGTCAAGATAGAGTCTTTAAACCATGATGTATCCTTTAGTCTCTAAACCATGAGGTACCCTGTAGGTCAGATACAGATAAAGTCTCTAAACCATGTTTACACTGTAGTTCGGATAATAGGAGGTCGACAGTCAAATGAATATGGATTGTGTGATATGTTAATCCCGAAATGACATAGTCTCTCTTTTAAAAATGAATATATTGTTAACGCGGTTTAGATATCTAGAGGCAATAAACCTGGTGTAGGAAATTCAAGTACATTGAAAAGATTTCTTGGTATGACTTGTTTGTGGTCTTGATTATAATACAATGTTACACAATAAATTACACCTGCTACTGAGTATTGTAATTACAGACTGTAATAAATTACACCCCTCACCCTACTAAGAATTATAATTAAAGAAACTAATGATATTTTAGTTTATATTATGTCTTTGAATCTACTTTGGAAGTATGTGCAACCGTATGACCTTAATTTAATTAGTATGATTATTTCTACAAAGATCCAATTAAAGCTTTTAACCATCCATTGGTGTTTTACTAACAATAAGTCATATAGTTTATTCAGTTCGACGTATGATTTAAAATAAATAGATACAGTTGGTTTAACTTGAATGTAGATATTAATTATCTATGTGCATATATATCACCTTTCAGTTGCATCATACAATATATCTTTTTCATATCGTCTTACGTATTTGACAACATCAAGGTGAACCTGCTTTATTGCTCCATTTAGCCTATTCATATTTGTTCAAATGAATTTACCCCCCTCCCCCTCCACAATAAAACATCATTTTGTGGGAATGGAGGCTTTTATAGAGTGAACACTTGTTCGCGATGTCAATGTCGGTGGAAACAAGTACTATAACTATTGAGTGAACAAAAAGGGGAGATGAGCTCTCGCATGACGCCGAGCATTTCTTTCAAATTGACTGCCAAATTTGGTTCTGAAATGGCATTTTTCCGATAATCTCGCAAGATTTGACTTTTACTAGGTCTTATAAATGGATTTTAATGTTTCTGAAATTAAAGGTCACCGTCGAGTGCTGAGGTCGTGAAACACGTTAGAAAATTAAAGCGAGAAAACGTGCTTTCGTCCTACAGAAACCTGAAAGTGGTCTATAATAATGAAGACATCTAAACTCCAGTCAACAAATCAACCACTCACATGACACCAGCAATTTTACTGATGAAACACATGTCGCGCTTAGAGCAGAGTGGCGCCATTCTTGGTTCCCAGAGAGAAACGAACGGTAAACTTCTCGCCGACCATTAATCAGTCTAAATTCGGTTCCCAAGCTCCTCTCCCCCCTGACTCTTGATTGACTAGATTTGTTTGAATAAAATTAGGCATCGGTTCGTCTCCTGAAAAAAGTAAGAACCACTGCTGTAAACCGACTAGATATTAATGTATTTTGTGAATTAACAAGTAGAATTTGTTGCTCAAATTAAAACTATTATTTATTATCATTACAGCATAGTTTATATTCTCTCCGATTTCGGAACTAGTCGTAGTTTGGAAGATGAAGGCACCTATTATTCACTGGTTGGAACGGAAGAATACTTAGTAAGTTTTAAAAATACTGAATCTAATTCAGTGAAAGGCTGGGGGAGAAGGCCTACTTATTTATTTAAGTCTCTAAAGGATATGAGGAGTACTTATTTATTTAAGTCTCTAAAGGATATGAGGAGTACTTATTTATTTAAGTCTCTAAAGGATATGAGGAGTACTTATTTATTTAAGTCTCTAAAGGATATGAGGAGTACTTATTTATTTAAGTTCTGATTCTTTATCTATTATATATTCAGGGTTATCTTATTTCACATCTTAGTTCAATAATTCACTTGGGAGTAGCGAAAATCTATATGTTAAAATTATTGTTATGTTTAACGAGTTCTATTGCGATGTTGTAAAACAGGTGGATACCAACATTGGCATTTCAGATTATATTATTACAAAACTCAAAACAAGGTTTTCTCAACCACTCACGAAAGCGAGAGCTTACTCTTATACGTAATTCCCCCCCCCCCCATTAACTGATTCAGCCAGGAAAACTAAATACCAATACAATTTTCCACTGCGGATCGTTAATTGAAGTTTTGGACAATATCTTATTCCATTCGACATAAAGATTGATTATTTAACATTTAATAAAGAAAACCATATCAAAATATCATTAGGATTAAAAAGATTTATGTACCCATCAAAAGATTTCATAAAAATCCCCCCACATCAACCAGAACACAGGTCATATAACAACTCTTGTAGTAAAGACAAGTAAAGCAAAATTTTAAACTATAAAAAACAAAACGAAATCGGATCTGTGTTTTAATCAGATTGGAATAGAATTGAACTATTTTGGAGTGATATTTCAAACTTCCTCAGATGAGTATCAACAACTCTATTTAGAATTTTATAATTTCTTTCCAGCACCCAGCTGTGTATGAGAAGGCATTTGTTGATCGTAATGTACGCACAGCTTTTACGTTATCAACAGACTTATGGAGTTTAGCTTGCACACTGTATCAAGCTGTTACATCAAAGATGCCCTTTATACCAAATGCTGGAGCCAGGGAAGACAAGAACGCCATGTAATTATATCGGGTTTTTTTTTATTTTGAAATTGTTAAAGATACAGGACTGGATTAATCATTGAACAAAATAAGTACATGCTCAGGGCATCATAGGAATGCAGGCACAACAGAATGTCTGCTTAATTTAAAAACTGATGAAGAACTTTTAAAGGACAATATTGGTGCCAGTCATTATCACATATGTGATAGAACTGGTTAAACACGTTCCAAATATTATTTTATCACAGAGATCATTGCTACGATAGATGCGTAATCAATGCTTGAACAATCGGAAGTGACGAACGCAAAAGGAAAACACGAGTTATCCCTCTATATAACTGACTGAGGATTACGAGCGATAACGGCTGAATTTCTGCTCACTAATAATTCTTTGGAAGACCAAAAGTTGTTATATGAGAATGTAAGTGTATATCTGACAATTAAAAAAGGTAATTGAATGTCATTAGATAAGAGAACACGAGAAAAATAAAAACTGTATCTGTTATCAACCGTCACTTCAGTCAGTTATATAGACTGATCTGATGAAGATGGGCATATACTATACATTGTGCTATGAAGGAAAGTTTTTCCAGATAGCGGCGCCACGACTTACTCTTATATCGAATTCACACTGCCAATGTGTACATGGGACCTAGGCTTTTCGTACCATCCGTTCGACTAGACAGCTGTCCTTGTTGGGCCCTCAGTCCTGCACCACTGACAAGAGGAAACCACACCGAAGAATCTCGATGAACTTACTCGGTCAACATCGGGAGAGAACACGCAACCTCCATGCCAGCCAGCTGCAGCGTCTTACCCACTTTAGTCAACGTGGCTCCCTTGCTGCAGAGATAATAATAACCAAATAATATATTTTACAACCAGGTATGAGATGATATCGTGCAAACCTTCTGGAGCTTTAAGTGGATATCAAGACGAGGCTAATGGCGAAATAAAATGGATGACAGATTTTCCGACAGGCTGCAGATCGTCACGGTAAATCAATCATATTTCTAGTTGAACCTTTTAAAATGGCAATGATAGAGAGAGAGAGAGAGGGAGGGGGGAATCGGGTTTAACTTCCACACGACACAAACTATGTCATTTCGGGACTAACATATGGTTCAATTTTATTTCAATAATTCCCCTTGCGCGTAGGGGTCTTTAGCAGTTGTAGGAAACCGGAGCACCCGGAGAAAACCCACCCTACTCCTTCTCACATACAACCGAAGAATCGAAACCATGCCAGTTGATTCAATGACAGACCTTATGATATAATGTGCACGCGCTAACCATTCGGTTATATAAGTTTTTATTTATTTTTCAGCCATTTACAAGAATTATTAAAGAATATCATATCTAAACTATTAGAAGCAGATCCACAAAAACAGCTGTCATATGAAGAACTATTTTCAGAACAGAGAAAACTAAATAAAAGATTTCAGCTAAATATTATAAACACTAGTGACGGAACCAACTTTAATTTGTATTTTACACCAAATGATAGGTAATTATATCTAATTATAACCAAATGATTGGTAATTATATACATGCATAACAAATTGATAGGTAAGTATATATAATTATAATCAAATGATTGGTAATTATATATATGCATAACAAATTGATAGGTAAGTATATATAATTATAACAAGATGATAGGTAATTATAAATAATTACAACCTATGATAGATAATTAGATATAATTATAACCAATTGATAGGTAATTAGATATAATTATAACCAAATGATAGGTTATATATGATTATAACCAAATGATAGGTAATTGTATATAATTATAACCTATGATGGGTAATGAGATATAATTATAACCAAATGATTAAATAATTATATATGATTATAACCAAATAATAGGTAATTATACATAGTTATAACCAAATGATAGGTAATAATTATACATAATTATAACCAAGTGATTATTATATATAATTATAACGAAATTAATATAACCAAATAATAGGTAATTATATGGGTTATTTTCATTTCATAAATGTAACAAACTGCATCCATTGTGCTAATATTGACTAGAAATTTTATTATTAATGTTAAAAAACATTTTTTTAAATTTTTCTTAATGTTGAAATTACCTTTTGTATTTTATTAATTTCAATATTAAAATTACTCTTTTACATAGACTGTTTTTCTTTTTATTGATGTTGAACTGCCGTCTCGGGTCACATTCTACTCTGGCCACTGTTATATGTGTTTTCTATTTATTTAGTTTAACACAGCTTAAAGAAGAGATCGCCAGATATACTGATGTTCCAGCCGAGTATCAGACATTATATTATGATGATTTGATGTTAGATAAGGCGGTTATCAGGGGATCAAGTCTGGGTGATCTATTCAATCAACGACAGACTAACTACATCCCAGCTGTATTTAAACACAACTTGGAGGAAGGCCTGAAACTATTCAAACTAGGTAAATAAGATTATGTCAAGTGGTATGGCGGGTACCATCCACGGGGCAGATTATGCTTAATCCTAACTGAAGACTTGAAACTGATGCTTGGTTTATAATTCTGATGATTTCCCATTAAGGCAGTGTATTGACTTTAATTCCATGACCGGGAGGGGGAGGGGTATTGGATGGCCGAATGGTTAACGTCTCGGAGCGGGGTTGGATGGCCAAATGGTTAGCGCGTGTACGTTGTACTGGCGTGATTTCGATTCCCCGGTTGTACTTGACACGGAGTGAGGTCGCCTGTTCAACCTCGTGGGTTTTCTCCGCCCCCCCCCCCCCCCCGGGCTCCTCCTACTGCTAAAGTCCCCTACGCGCAATCGAATTATTGAAATATATTTGAATGAAACCATGTTTTAGTCCCGAAATTACCTAGTTTGTGAACGTTAAACCCCATTTCTTGAATTATTTGTATTCACGTAACAGTGGTTATAGCAGCACAGCGTTTACAATCGCAGTAAACTCCACTTGTAACTATAGATATATGACATTTATAATCATTGCATCTGTAACCATAGCAACGATGCATGTGTATATGAATGATACAATTGTAACCATGATGGTATTGTAACCATGGTAACAGATGCATTTGTAATGATAACCACACATGTAGTGTAAAATACTGTATTTTACAACGAGATTTTATTTCAAAGTTTCACCAATTGATAGTTTATTTATCGTTTTCACCTCTTTGTTTTCAGAATCGTTTGGTGTTTATAATAATTCGAGTTCAGTTGCTAATGATTATGATATAACGTTTAAACGAATTGTCATAGTATATCAGATAATAGATTTAGTATACGACTCGTTTCATTATCAACAGAAAACAGTGAGAACATTAGTTATAATGTGGTAAGTAGTATAGTTATATTACCATCAGTAACAATCTGGTAAGTGCGATGGTTTTGTTATCATCAGTAACAATGTGGTAAGTACAAAAACTATAAACATACTTATGGAAAACAGCTACTGATTTATTTAGGCGACGTTTCGAAGAGTATTCTCTCAAAGTTTTCAAGCTAATACAATATAACAAAATTTGAAGCAAGATATATAGACAAAATTACAGCAACACGGTTGAAACCATACATGACAACAACAAGATCAAAGGCCTATGACACAGTAGGGTTATGATATACAAAAACAAGATAAAATGGACTAATTAACTATCTAAAAGCCAATGAGTAGTGGTGATGTATAGCTGTTTCCCATAAGTTTATTTATCTACTGAGGCTGTATGTAGGTAATACACGTTTTAAATTACATACGTGGTGAGGTCGTATACACATAATACACGTTCAAGATTACATACGTAGTGAGGTCGTATACACATAATACACGTTCTAGATTACATACGTAGTGAGTCGTATACATATAATACATGTTCTAGATTACATACGTAGTGAGGACGTTTACACATAATACATGTTCTAGATTACATGCGTAGTGAGGTCGTATACACATAATACACGTTCTAGATTACATACCTAGTGAGGTCGTATACACATAATACACGTTCTAGATTACATACGTAGTGAGGTCGTATACACGTACTACACGCACAAGATTACATACGAAGTGAGGTTGTATAATGTGATATTTGAATTGTTTTCCAGGGCGATGATCAAGACATTTACTCTGAAGATTGAGAAGGGGTATGAATGTTTATTACTGGAGATGAATAACATGAGATATATGTTACAGTTTTACCGTAGAGAAGTCAGAGAAGAAGAAGATCTGTCAAAATTTAGTTTAAAATCAATCAGTGATGATATACGTCACATAGACCACCGTGTTGTTAATGGTAACGCGTCGGCGCAGAAATACAGCACATATTCGCCAGAAGTCAGCAACATGGCGGCGCTGGACAAGGTTTGTTCATCTGGTCATTAATTGGGTTTAACGTCCACTGTTCTGTTCATATTGGGTTAAAGGACAATATTGGTGTCAGTCAATATCATATATGATAAAACTGGTTAAACACGTTCTAAATATAATTTTAACACAGAGATTATTGCTACAACAGACGAACACAAAAGGAGAACACGAGTTACCCTTCTATATAACTGACTGAAGTGACGAGTGATAACATTTATGAAGTGACGAGTAATAACATTTACACGGTCGAAATTCTGCTCACTCACAATTCCTTCGGAATCTGACAATTCAAAAAAAATAATTGAATGTCACGAGATTAGAGAACACGAGAAAAATAGAAATGGACATACAATGTGCTATGGGGGAAATTTTGTCCGGACAGCGGCAATACATCCTACTCTTACTTCGAATTCCAAGTGTCATGGGTTCTTTTATGCGCATGCCAATATGTACACTGGACCTTGGGTTTTCTTCCCATCCGAAAGACTATATACGCTAATCGCTTGCCTGGACCTGCGTCCTGCGCCACTGACAAGCAGGAACGGCACCCGATAACCCATTTCGCGACCAACACTAGGGGGGGGGGGGGTGATGTTGATTTGTCGTGCGGTCTAACGTGTCCTCTTTTAGATCATAATGGTCTGACATTTTGTCAAGTGACGTGGTTCTCATCCCAAACTAGTACGTGACAAGGAATAAAGCCACCTGCTTTCAATATTTCTCCACTCTAGATCATATGGTCTGGTCAAATGCAAGAATTGGATCAAAGGCTTGGATTGACACGAACTATTGTTGCCTGTATAACCTCGTGAGTTTCCTATGAGTTCTCCCTCGAGGGGGAGAATCCTGTAATAGTGAAATAAGCAATATTAGCCCCCCATCTCTCTCTCTCTCTCTCTCTCTCTCTCTCTCTCTCTCAGTGTATTATTTGATTGACAGATGGAAGTAGATATAAAACCTGTACGTGATATTATCAGACGCCTGAATATCATGATGGAGGCACAGTACAACAAGATGGCGGTTCCTCAAGACAGTTGCACTTGTTCATGGTTCGTCTCCCTACTTTAATTAAAATCATAAAATAAAATCTCAATTATTTGTATTTTACTTCGGCGACCATATTCACGAAAATTCAAACTAAAACGTATTAAGAACGCAGCCCTTTGATTGGCTAAGAGATAAAATGTGGATTATGATTTTAACCTCCAACCAATGAAAATATCGCTTCCTTAAAATATATCAGTTGAAATTTTCTTGAATAAGGGCCCAGATTCACTCGGCAAACCTCGACAGATTCCGTTACTCTACATCTAGCCTCGGCTGTATGACCGTAAATGATATGTACCTACGCCTATACAATTGCGATGCGGCACCGGTTTACTTATCAGGAAAACTTGCCGCTTTTAAAAAGAAGTTATTTAAATTGCGTCGTTCGAAGCTGTTTAGAATTTTCAGTGCAGAGTTGTCCTTGTTTGAAGAAAATCGGATAAACTTGAACGAAAAACAGCTTCCGACTTTGAAATATTTGTATGATAAAACATTCTTCAAAGGCGTCGTAATGGGGAACGCCGTTGGTAATCCGGGAACTTGAAAGCAGTTCCAATGCCGGACTTCGTTATACAGCCGAGGCTAGATGTAGGGTACTGGAATCTGCTGAGGTTTGCCGAGTGGGCCCAGATTGATTCGTCTTTGATTCCAGTTAAAAATAATTCTCTCAATCCAAAAATTAGCGACAGCCCAGTGAAAAGGGAGGTTTCGGGCTACAACGCATTCGCCTACTCTATAAGAAAAATATATCAACCAAGCATGACAACCGAAACATATTCATTGTGACTCGATTCTACTCACACCACCTCAGTTGTCGGGACTGACGGATCTGTGATCTAATTTAATTCCGCATCACTCCAGTCTGATTAAAATACAGATCTATATTTCGTTTCGGTTTTTTTATACTTTCGATGGCCTCTACTACATTAAGATCTGACCAGTTGTAGTGGGAAGTCGCGTCAGAGGTCATATGAGCGACTTTTGAAACTGATAACCAATCAGCGTTGATGTTTCTAGTGGAATACCCACAGTTCCATGCACAACACGCCAAGAACTCGTTTTATTGACCAATCCGTCACTTCAATCAGTACGCGGGTTGCAGAACAACTCTTCCAGGTGCTAGTGTATAAAGACAAGGAAAATGAAATTTTGAACTATAAAAAACGAAACGAAATAGGATCTATGTTTTAATCAGGTTGCCATCACTCGATTGTAATTCTGTGATTTCGGGAAATAACAGACTCCCAATCGTGCATCCCCTATTTAAAATAAAAAAAATTGAATATATTTTATACATCCAACAGCTGGCATTTTGTTTACAAACTGTTTGTATTAATACAGTCTTCAGAAAGCCAAGAAATATGCAGATGACATGAAGATAATTTTAACTAGAATGAAGCGAAGAAAAAAAATGGAGATTTTACCAGAGGAAGAACGTATTCTGCATTTAAAAGATCGGTAAGGATTTATTTAGAATATCTGTTAATAATATATTAGTATGGTATATAGTGCATAGCTCATGATTCTATATTTAGAATATCTGTTAATAATATATTAGTATGGTATATAGTGCATAGCTCATGATTCTATATTTAGAATATCTGTTAATAATATATTAGTATGGTATATAGTGCATATCTCATGATTCTATATTTAGAATATGTGTTGTTATGTTAGTATGGTATATAGTGCATATCTCATGAGTCTATATTTAGAATATCTGTTTAATTATGGTATAATAAATATCTCATGGGTCTATATTTAGAATATCTATTTTAGTCTCTCATGAGTTTATATTTAGAATATCTATTTAGGTATGCATAGTTAATATCTCATCAGTCTATATTTATGTATGGTATATAGTTAATATCTCATCAGTCTATATTTAATTATGGTATATAGTTAATATCTCATCAGTCTATATTTAAGTATGGTATATAGTTAATATCTCATCAGTCTATGTTTAAGTATGGTATATAGTTAATATCTCATCAGTCTATATTTAATTATGGAATAAAAGTTAATATCTCATCAGTCTATTTAAGTATGGTATATAGTTAATATCTCATGAATTTAAGTATGTTATATAGTTAATATCTCATGAATTAGTCTATATTTTAGTATGGTATATGGTTAATATCTCATGACTCTATAATGAAATTAGTATGGTATATAGTTGATATCTCCTGAATTAGTCTATATTTGTAGTAGGACAGGGTTCGGATACTGGATGCAGCGGCAGCTAATGTCATGAAACAAACAATAAACAAGATATAATTTGATACTTGTTATTATAAATTAAACAACAATGGATTCTGAAAATGTGACGTGTGCCCTTAATGTCTCAAAATGATTGATTTGCCCGAAATGCTAAACAAATCATGAAATCTATACGCCAAAGTCTATTTCTCAAACTACGGAATGAATTAACTCACTGTGGTGAATCGATTCATCGGTCCTGTACAGCCCGTTAACCCACTATTAAAAACGAAATCACCAAATTCTTCCTCACGAATCAAGTGAAAAGGCCGCAATGCCTATATCTCCAGTGTCTGGCAGTAGAACGCAATGTCTAAACTACTAGAACACCATTAAAAACGAAATCACCGAATTCTTCCTCACGAATCAAGTGACCAAATTCCTATATGGTTTAGACTTAGCCTAGTAATTATAGCGTTTTGCTGATTGATATTTCAGTAATGACGTAGAAGAATTGAGTGCAAGTTGTTTAAATCTGTGGCAAGACCATTGTTGGGTGAAGAAACAGCAATATTACAAGCAGTTTATACACAGCAAGAGGTAGGTATAGCACCCAATCAGAGAGAGAGAGAGAGAGAGAGAGAGAGCGAGCACCCAATCAGAGAGACAGAGAGAGAGAGAGAGAGAGAGAGAGAGCGAGCACCCAATCAGAGAGACAGAGGGAGAGAGAGAGGAGAGAGAGACAGAGAGGAGAGAGAGAGAGAGGGTAGCACCCAATCAGAGGGAGAGAGAGAGTGTAGCACCCAATCAGAGAGAGAGAGAGAGAGAAGGTAGCACCCAATCAGAGGGAGAGAAAGAGAAGGTAGCACCCAATCAGAGAGAGAGAGAGAAGGTAGCACCCAATCAGAGAGAGAGAGAGAAGGTAGCACCCAATCAGAGAGAGAGAGAGAAGGTAGCACCCAATCAGAGAGAGAGATAGAAGGTAGCACCCAATCAGAGAGAGAGAGAGAAGGTAGCACCCAATCAGAGAGAGAGAGAGAGAGGGTAGCACCCAATCAGAGGGAGAGAAAGAGAAGGTAGCACCCAATCAGAGAGAGAGAGAGAAGGTAGCACCCAATCAGAGGGAGAGAAAGAGAAGGTAGCACCCAATCAGAGAGAGAGAGAGAAGGTAGCACCCAATCAGAGACAGAGAGAGAAGGTAGCACCCAATCAGAGAGAGAGAGAGAAGGTAGCACCCAATCAGAGAGAGAGAGAGAAGGTAGCACCCAATCAGAGAGAGAGATAGAAGGTAGCACCCAATCAGAGAGAGAGAGAGAAGGTAGCACCCAATCAGAGAGAGAGAGAGAGGGTAGCACCCAATCAGAGGGAGAGAAAGAGAAGGTAGCACCCAATCAGAGAGAGAGAGAGAAGGTAGCACCCAATCAGAGGGAGAGAAAGAGAAGGTAGCACCCAATCAGAGAAACAGAGAGGGAGAGGGTTGGGGAAAACCGGAGTTCCCGGGCACAACCCACGTGTTCATACGGGTTGATCTACAACTTTGGATCGAATCGAACTCATGGAAAACGACAGCGCACGCGTGATACCTACCTTAGACCGGTTGATGCATCACCGGAACCTCCAGGTTAGCGATCCGACGTCTTACTCACTGAGCCACCGCATCCCCTTGTATGTAATTGAAATAAAATATCTGTTGGAGAGGTTTGACCGGGATATTTAATTATATTTCAGGAGTTTCCATGAATGTCACGACCTGACTTTAAAAGCCAATGATAGATTGAGGAAGATCAGAGAGAAATGTAATAGTTTTAATGACCAGATACGCAAGGTATTTAAATATGTTTTATTTATTCCCCGTCTTCATTAGCCCAGTCGGTGCAAAACAGTAGGACGTTAAACCCCATTTCATTTTCATTTATTTATTGTCTTAAAGCCAGCTATAACTCTAGTAGCTTGACAGATCTTGATTTAGAAAAGAAATGAAATGGGGTTTAACGTCCTACCGGGTTAATTAAGACTGTCACGCGCCATGCAGTGTGCTAATGGGGGTAAATTTGTCCGCCTACTCTTTGTAGAATTCAAATGGTCAGCGATTGTTTAACGTGGACACCAGCGTCCCACCCGAATGACTAGACGTGTTTCTTTACCAGGTCTCCCATCCCGCATCACTGACAACTTGAAGAGTTGATTTTGCTCATTACTAAAATCATTCTGATTAAAATACAGATCTATATTTCATTTCGTTTTATTATGCCTACACTACATGAAGATCTGACCGGTTGTAGTAAAAGGCCGCGGCAGAGGTCATACGAACGGCTTTTGACCCTATAAGGTCAGACATTTGATTAACCAATCAGCGTTGATGTTTCTTGTGGTTTACCCACCGTTCCGTGCACCTCACGCCAAAAACTTGCCGTAACACATGGTTTCATTGGCTAATCCCTAACATCATCCAGAACGAGAGTTATATAACAACTCTTCCAGATCCTTGTGTAGTAAAGACAAGTTAAATGAAATTTTGAACTACAAAAAACGAAACGAAATAGGGCCTGTGTTTAATCAGATTGAAATAAAATAGATTATGTTTATTTTTAGTCAGTCCAGCTTGTGAAAAATGAACATTCCATTGATTCGCTACATATTCGGTAAGCCCGAGTTTTTATAGCGATGATTGGTTATATTTAAAAATTAACCAGCACTGCAATTGCTTTGACAATATGGACGCTTTATAGCGGTACTATTATGGTTGGTCTTTGCCTCTATCTCTCTCATTTTCAACTGCTTGTTCCTATTTCTCAATTTCCTGGGTTCTTGCCGGTCCCAATTTTTGATTTTCCTGGGTCCTCGCCAGTCGTCGATAGATCAGATAGAGCTAGTTATAAGCCTTGTTTAGCTCGTTTAGTTTACAGTAATAAATTTAAAAATTAATCTATTTTCCTGTAGAAGTGGAAGCGTGAAGAATGTGGACAGTTCTAGTAGATTCCACGGGGACGTCCCAGTTCCTGTCACCGTTCCGAAAGGTTGTTTTAATGGTGGTGACGTTAGTAGGTATGTATTCTATAAACTCCATATTTCAAGGTCAAGCTGTAACTAGTTATTCCCCTTGAGAGAGAGAGAGAGAGAGGGGGACGGGTTCTTGACAAACGTGATATATTTCCATAGGCGTACGGAGACCATGAATGTCATGGGGTGGGGGACAGAATGGGCTGGGCTTAGAGTGTAGGACCCGCCCCCACCCCAAAGTTAATTTTGAAAATTTGACGGCCACAAACATATATTTTTTCTTGGCGCGAATCGTGAAAGTGGGAAGCTAGCATTACGATGGTTGTCTTAACATCTTCTTTTTCTATTGCCGAGGGCCTGACAAGGACAGCTGTCTAGTCATTCAGATGAGACGAAAAACCGAGGTCCCGTGTATACATTGGAATGCACGTAAAAGATCCCTTGGCAGTTGGAATTCGATATAAGAGTAGGCGATAGTGCCGCTGCCCGGGCAAAATTTCCCTCATAGCACACTGTATGGTGTATGCCCGTCTTCATTAGCCCAGGTTAGGAGCAGAACAGTAGGACGTTAAACCCCATTTCATTTCATTTCTATTTCTATTGTAATACCTATTGGTTTGCACGAATAAAGTAAACAGTCAAACCTTTTATGCTCCTTAACGCTGTCACTTGTGTAAACATGAACTAGATATTTGAGTAACGCCCTTGTTGAATAAGTATGCCAATAATAATATAATAATAATAATATATAATATAGACTATAGACTAAACTATATAATATAAGATCCTACTCCAGAAGGCGGTGTATGAAATACATGTATGTATAACATACGTATATAATATAATGTTCCACTCCGACTATATAATATAAAGAAGTCGGTGTATGAAATACATGTATGTATAACATACGTATATAATATAATGTTCCACTCCGACTATATAATATAAAGAAGTCGGTGTATGAAATACATGTATGTATAACATACGTATATAATATAAAGAAGGCGGTGTATGAAATACATGTATGTATAACATACGTATATAATATAAAGAAGACGGTGTGTGAAATTGTATACGTATGTATAACATCAACGATAAATATATGCTTGGTTTAATTCTATGGAAGACCAAACAGCTCATTATTCACCGGCGACCCCTTACCACGATAAAACTAGAGATAAGAGATAAATTTATACATAAAATGGCCTCGTGAAGGATAGGTGTACAGACTCGATGAATGTTGTGGGGAGAGGGGAGAACCTGAGATGCCCGAAATAATTTCGGGTTACACTCGGCGGCGCCGGTCGTCTACAAGAGGCGAAGGAGCGGAACATACCTCGTAGGACCCCCTCCCACCCTCCCGATCAAAAACCAAATTAATATTTGACTGCCGCAAAAGCGTTTTTCTACTATTCCAGACCGGAAATACAGCAACTTCAAAGTGGTCTAATATAGCCTAACATAGGTGGCTGACTTAAATTCCAATCAATCGTTTGTCGTTTGCAGTCCACAAATATGGGACCGCCGAGAGAAAGTTTTAAAAATTTAACTGGCGCAAACGTGTTTTCGGCTCTTCCAACCCGTGAATACAGCAAGTTCAAAGTGGTCCAATAAAGCCTACCTTAGGTGACTTACCGGAATCCCAAATCCCAAACAACCAAGCAATCGGTGCGGGGTATGGAGACCTCGTGCCCCCGAGAAAATTTTGAAAGTTTAACCACTGCAAATGCGTTTTTCTGCTATTTTAGCCCGTGAATTAAACAACCGCAGAGTTTCCGATGGGTTTGCAACCGAAATCTCACTTTATGCCGACCTGAGTTCCAACCATCCAATCAGAATGCTGCAGCTGCATCCATAAATAATAATCGATGGCCGAAAAATGTCACAGAAATTAGAAAGACTCCCGACAAAACGTTTTAATCAATTCAGTACAAATTTGTGATGTTCAATTAAAAATAAAGTAAAATTAGTGTTTTATAAGATCTCGGGCACTTTATTTTGCCAACTAGATGAAATAATAATTTTTGTTTTCACTTTACCCGTCTGCCCGAAAGTTAGGGGGTGTGGGGGGGGGGGGGGTATGCAGCTGCGTGTCTGAGGGTGTAGGAGGAAGTCGGAGAACCCGAAAAAAAGAATCAACATGCGATTTTACAATTGACCGTGCGCAAATCGATACCAGGCCTACCCCACTTGACTACCCAACTCCCCATGTGAACTGTATACCAGGCCTACCCCACTTGACTACCCTACTCCCCATGTGAACTTTATACCAGGCCTACCCCACTTGACTACCCAACTCGCCATGTGAACTGTATACCAGGCCTACCCCACTTGACTACCCAACTCCCCCTATGTGACTCCTTTACCAAAGAAAATAATAAATATGTCAAGCTGATTAAAACACAGATCCTATTTCGTTTCGTTTTTTATAGTTTTACTTGTCTTCACTACACTAGGATCTGGAAGAGTTGTTATATAAGCCGCGCTCGGATTAATGTGAGAGATTAGCCAATGGAGCGGTCTGTTACGGCGAGTTCTTGGTGTACTGTACACGGAACTGTGGGTAAACCACTAGTAACGTCAATGCTGGTTGATTAATCAATATCTGACGTCATAGGGTCAACCGCCGCTCGTATGACCTCTGGCGCGACCTTCCAGTACAACCGACCAGATCTTCATATAATGTAGCCCATCGAAGGTATAAAAACGAAACGAATTATAGATCTGTATTTTAATCAGATTGAAATAATGTCTGTTAGTGGACGTTAAATCCCCCTCTCTCTCTCTCTCCCCTCTCTCTCTCTTTCTCTCTACCCCCCCCCCCCCTCCTTACCAACGGATATAATAAATAATGTCTGTTAGCCTTAAAGATACATTATGGGAGATTCGATAACGAGTTAGCAGTTACCACTATAATAGTTAAAAACTAGATAATGTAAAGGCAATTTGCTGAACATTTCAGTCAAATTGATCCACTATGAACCGAGAAATAAGCGATCGAAAGTTCCGCATAGCCTCGGTCTACATAACTAAAGTCGGTACGACAAAAATCATAGTCTCGATTATCCATTTAAGCGTTAAATCGAGAAGGAAAGTTATGCAGCAAATCAGATCATAATCCAACAATTATCGCAGGCTAGCATTGACATCGAGAGTTGATAATGGTCTGGATACGTTAATTAATGTCTAATTAATAATTTAGATAACATTTCAGGTTAAAAGAAAGACCTGCAATAGGCAGATTTAGCTCTTGCATAATGTATGTTTAATATGATTAATACAATGACGTCATTATTAATGTGACGTCATAATGTATGTTTAATACTGTTTCATATTAAATTTCAGGAAGATTGCAAGTAATTATTAGATCTGATTAGTAGGTAAAGGTGTAGACTATTAGAGAAAGATAGGAAAGAAAAGTTAATGTGTGTATACGTGTAATGTGCACAATGTGCAGTATATTTGTTTAAGGCCTTGGTCTTTTGTACATAAAGTTGAACATAAAAAAGATGTACAGTGGATGATAGAAGCTGGTGTTGTGCTATTTTTATTTGTTGTTTTTATTTTTATCTATATTGTCCGTATAATCATATATTTCCCCCAGGCTCTAATCAAGTTTAATAAATGTATTTATTTGGAATTATACGAGTACCATATATGAACTGTAATTACAATCTGATTAAAACACAGATCCTATTTCGTTTCGTTTTTCATAGTTCAAAATTTCGTTTTGCTTGTCTTTACTAAACTAGGATCTATAAGAGTTATATAAAAAAAAGCCGCGTTCTTGATGTTGTAAAGGATTAGCCAATGAAACGGGCTGTTACGGCGAGGTTTTGGCATAAGGTGCACAGAACTGTGGGTAACCCACTAAAAACATCAACGCTGATTGGTTAATCGAGTGTCTGACGTCATAGATTAAAAAAAAAAACCGCTCGTATGGCATCTGAAGCGAACTTCCATTACAACCAGCCAGATCTTTATGTAATAGAGGCAATCAAAAATATAAAAAATACGAAACGAAATATAGATCTGTATTTTAATTAAATATGAACTGTTATTAAGATAATATTGTTTTATAACTCAAGGCTATAATACAAAATATTGTTAAGCTATTTATAGATTCTGTAATAAATTGTACATGGGTATATATCTTTATAACTCGAGGCCTAAATACAACATATTGTATTATTTAGGTTTAACTATATAGATTTATAAAAGTTATATATATAAGTATTATGTACTCTACTGAACATGGCGGAAGTATTTTATATTCAAAGACCTCGGAGTATGAAATAATCATTTATTTTTTGAGAAATGATCGAAATATTTACAGAAAAAGGGGTTAATACAACCCATATCGTACAAAATCAGCAAATTGTAATTTTGACTTTGAGCACCAGGAACACTTGCCTTCACAATCCGACAAGCCGAAATATAGAATGGCCACTAACAGCAACCATAAATAACTGTGCTGTAATATTGTAATTTTAAATATTATAATAATGTTATTATGTATTTCTAGAGGGATGGTAAAATTAATATCTGCTATTGATAATATCCAATAAAATAAGCCTTGCCTGCTTAATATCTACCTCACACTTCCATCCTTATCACGGTTTCACCCTCATCACGGTTTCACCCTCATCACAGTTTCATCTTCATCACAGTTTCATTGCTAACAGTCTCATCTGTTGTAATTATCTGTCAATAATATAGTTAACAATATAAGCTATGCCTCGTGGAATTATTCTTCATGTGTTTTTTGTCTTTCAAAACTGTTTTACATCTTCTCAGCGAGTAAGATGGTGGCTCGCTAACCTAAAGGTCCAGGGTTAGATCCCAATGTAGGCAGAAAAGGATTCTTGTGAATTTCCGGTGGTGTTTCCCCTTATCATTGGTGCAGGGTTAAGGGGCTAATAAGGAACAGTGTCTAGTTGTACAGATTGGGGTGTATAAGAACCCTTGATAGCTGGAATTCGAAATAAGAGTAGACCATGATGTTAAAACTTGCGCTATAGCACACTGCATGGCGGATGCCCATGTTCATTCACCCGGATGGAGAGAAATGGGGTTTAATGTCCACTCTACACAAACTAAGTCTTTTCGGGACTAACACATGGTTCAATTTTATTTCAATAATTCGCTTGCGCGTAGGGGTCTTCAAGATACATTGTGGGAGATTAGATAGAGAGCTGACAGTTCTCGCTATAATAGTTAGAAACTAGATACTGTAAAAGGAATATGCTGAAAATTTAAGTCAAATTGATCCACTATGAACCGAGATTTTAGCGATTGAGTTTTCGGCCTATAGCCTCGATCATTATTACTAAAGTCGGTAGGATAAAATAAACATAGTCTCGATTATCCATTTCATGATTAAATTATGAATGGAACCTAATCCAATAAACATCATAGGCTAGCGATGCCATCGAGAGTTGATAAGTTAGTTGATATATAATTAATAATTTAGATAACATTTCAGGCCTAAAGAAAGACCTACTATAGGCAGATTTAGCTCTTGCATAATGTATGTGTAAGCAGTGGGAGGAAACCACGTACAACCACGCCACTTGACTCAATGAAAGACCTTGTGATGCAACACGCACTCGTTAACCATCAGAGGTCTCTAAATGGAATTAGTGAGATGTTTTTAAAAGAAATAATATCGAAATTCAGAGTCCGGCATCCACTTTATGCGGAATTATTACACGTTGCACCGGCACCTTGGGAACATTGTACAATTTAGGGCTTTGGAAAACATCACATATCTAAACACTCCCTGTAATATTAGAAATGGTAATGCAACGTCGGCAGACCTATGTTACTCACCGACTTGAGCTGACCGTCTAACCCAAATTTGAGTCGCGGCCAACCCCGAAGAGACAAACACGCTGATAAACCACACTCGATTATAACTGATCTACAACAGTTTGTTTTATGTGTTTATATGATAATACTCTCCTCAACTTGAAAAACATTGCAGGTGGGTGTATAATAAAGTCTAGTACCGACAACACGTTAGTGTTTTTGTACCCCGACATGGAAATGTAGTCGTATATGGCCGTCGCCCCCGTCCTCCACAATTTCTTGTGAACACTCTACGTACTACATTTATCACCTAATTATGGTTTACATTAGTGAGATGAAGAATCCTATTTAATTTCAATAATTTCCGTTAATTTCTCCTGGTGTTATGACCCTTGTTTCACTTTGTTGCACGTTGTGAACGCTCTAACGACAAAAGTTATGCATTATTTAGATTAGTGAAACGTAGAAGCCTATTGAATTTCGGCAATTTCCGTTAATTACGTCTAGAGTTATGACCCTTGTTGAACCTTGTGAATGCCCGAAGACAAAAGTTATCATCCAATCGATATAAAATTTATATATATGTATATCATTTAAATTTGTGAAACGAAGAATTCTGTTGAATTTCAGCTCTAACAACAAAAGTTATCATCCGATTTGTATGATATTTATATGCATCATTTAAATTATTGACACGAAGAGTTAAGGTCTATGTTTCAGTTTGCAGAACCAATAAAATAATAAATAAGCCACAGCACGGACGATTTAGCTACTGTAGGCGTATGTTTCGTTGCCTGGCAACATATCTTTAAATTAAGTGGAGCTGAATATCAGAGCCACCGGAAGCAGCATTGCACTAAGCGTGCAGCAGGACCCCACAAGCAGGGACTTTATGAGATGATATTTCATGGCGTGTGTTGCTATAAGAGGTGAATTCCCTAGGTTGTTGTTGATTGTCTTGTGTGGGTAAATATCCAGCTTATAATCAGTTGCATTCTGTTGCGATCGCCAACACTTTCAGTGTAATCAGTGTTGTGTTTTAACTGCGTCTCAGCATATAAGACATTAACAAATATACATGCGTTTTTATTTAAAAAAAAAACTAATTTGGAAAAAAAACGGCTCCTCCGGTTTTCTCTCACTGCTAAAGGCCCCTACGCGCAAGAGAATTATTTAAATAAAATTGAACCAGATGTTAGTCCCGAAATATCGAGTGAACATTAAACCCAATCCCCCTCTCTCTCTTTCTCTGATGCTAGCATACCTTTTGTCTATGTTCTTTTGTGAAATGACGGGGAGAAGATTTTGTCCAAGACAACGCCGTGTTCTCCTATACTGACCACTGAATTTCAACGTTCAAGAGCTGTTTGAAGTGCATACCAATGTGTACACGGTTGGATTACAACTGCACATGTCAGTTCCGTGGGTTGGTAACTGGGATGCGGCACACAGAGGGATCTAAACCCGGAAGGTCTTGTGTTCTTACTACCCGACCACCACGGGCCCGTGTTCAGATGGAATAGAAACGAGACAATTGGTGACCAGGCTTGAAAACCTCCGAGGTACTCGGCACAACAAGGGATTCAAACTAGGGATAGAGTTGAAATCAAATAGATACGTTTCATATGATTGGTATTCTGGAGTGTGCAGTGCTGAGTCACCATCAAGGTGGTCCCCCATTCCATCCCTATGTTGTCTGATAAAGGTCTTCGAGATTGTCCAGTCTATTTATTCCATCTTTGTCAGTGGTGCAGGAAGAAAAGGCGTCTAGTCATTCAGGTGAGACGAACAATCGAGGTCCACCCGACATTGACACGCACACGTAAAATAACCTTCAATGCCGCTGCCAGGGCACACATTTCCTCATAGCACATGATATATGATATGCCCATTTTCCCGGTAGTTACCAGAAAGTAGGACGTTAAATCCCACTTCACCCAGTCATAAAGGCAAATAACAAGGAAACCAGAAACTGTCTATTGTACACATGGGCGTTCACGTAAAAGAACCATATTTTTAACAGTTGGGATTCGAAATAAGAGTAGGTCGTAGTACCACTGTCCGGTCAAAATTGCCCCCATAGCATACTGTATGGTGATTTCATAAGTCTTCTTGGTGTCGATTAGTGGGACGTTAAACCCCATTTCATTTCATAAAGACAAAACACCTGTCATAGCATACTGTATGGTGACTTCATTAACCCAGTTGCTGTCAAACAGTAGGACTTTAAACCCCATTTCATTTCATTAACCCAATTGAACAGAACAGTAGGACGTTAAACTCAATGAATGACCAGATGAACAAACCATGTCCAGCGCCGCCATGTTGGTGACTTCATTAGTGCAGTTGGTGTCGGACTGTAGGACGTTAAACCCCATTTCATTTCACAATGCCCATCTTCATTAATTCTGCTGGCACATGATAGTAAGATCTTGAACCCCCATTTCATTTTACATTATTGCCAATGTAACAGCATCGTGTTAAAATATACAAGACAAAAGTTATTGATAAAATAGATTTATTTATAAATGCACGGTGTTTATTTACACTGCCATAAAACACAAGCCTATTGACATCAGTGCTAAAAAATGTAAACATCGGGGGTGATTTTATACAATTGTACATGTTAAACAATTTATACATAATTTAAGAGTGTTTTTTATACAAGTAGCTCCCCATTGATTGACGAAACTGTACCTCGCCGTTTCTAGATCTTCCTGATGTAACAGAAACACGAGCAGAATCACGTACCACGCGCCATACCGATGTCAACTTTAGAGGGAATCACGTGCCATACCGAGGTCAACTCTAGACCGAATCACGCGCCATACCGAGGTCAACTCCAGACCGCAGCATTGGGTCATTTAGTTTTGGAATAAGAACGAGTGGAGTCGCTGTTATTAGATTTTTCTTTTTTAAAAAGTGAAATGTCGATCACTAAGTATACGACCGCACTATATGAACAAGTAACCGATCATGACGTCATCGCAGCCATCTTGGAATTGTAAAATTCTATCAAAGATCGAAGTCCCTCGTTCGATGCGCAATTTTACAATAAATAGGCATGTCAAATTTCATTTCGATCGTAATCGAACTTTCGAAGCCTTACCCGTTTTGTGAAGAGCGTGACCCTAACACGATGACTACCAAGAGTATGGAAATAGTTCCGGGTTAAAAAAAATGTTACGAGTTATCTGCCCGTGCCTCTTTAAACATGGATATTCAAGAGCGGAAACGATACTATATCAAAGCATCATTAAATTTTAAATTCCCGAAATTTCCGAATATTCGTTCACGTTAACGTCATTATTGCTAACCAAACATTATGATATAGTTCTATTATTATGCGACAAGATGCTTGAACTTTCTGAGAAATTAGTCTACTTCAATTTTTGTTGTGAGCGTTTTGATATATTCGGGGTAAAAAATCGGGTAACAAAAGATCGTGACAGAGAGCCAAAAAGATTGTTGTTGCTATGGTGATCTAGAACCTGTTTTACCGAATCAGTTTCGCCATATTAAGAGGAACTTGTTATCAATATATTATGTTTAAAAGATATATAATGAACTATGACTACGTGTTGGACGATAAAACCGAGCGGGGTTTTCAACAAAAATATACAAAGTTTATTTACACCAATTGAATTTTCTTTTAGTCGAATATACCACATTTGTCTTTTATGTGTGTACTAGCATTTTTGCCAAAAAAAGAAACTTTTGAAAATATATTTCGTTATTTAGATAATTTCACATCCATTTGCTTCAATGTTTGTTAAACTCTACTAAACACTCGTTGTTTTTGGCTATGTTTTGTTAGTAGCCTGGAATGAAAAGAACCAATTTACCAGTTTCATTAATTTGAGGTTTTTGAGGTTTCCCAATGGATTATCGTCCGCCATATTTACATTTTATACAGGTTGTATATGTCTAATACTCTTACAAAAATAGTTCGAGTTGAAAATAGTTCGAGTTTAAGGATTAGACATTGAATGAGATTTTTTATAATTAATAAATATCTAACAAACGGTTAACAAAACTATCAGCCATTACTTCTTGTCCATTCACTCACAGATTCATCTCATTCAGATCTGACGTCACATCCTGTATAGTTTTCATGTACTGACCGACAATTGACATAAATCACAGAAAATTGCATGAAAGTCCCAAAATGTCATCTTGATTCTCACAAAACCTAAACGAACTATCGTCTGTGTTGGTCCTGGATTGATCCTTCACAAGACCATGGTCGGAAATACTGAGCTTCGCTAAGGGGCGTGGGTTTCTTCATCCATTCTATAACTTGTTTGGGTGTGACGATATAGACATCATTGAGGCTCATGAGTTCATCGATGAATGCATCCAAGGCATCGATGTGGTGTTCTGTGTGGAACCACCTGGCGTGTACAAAGATACCGAAAGGAGCTCGGTTGGTGTTGTAGTATCTCTTGAAGTTGGTTCGGAGGAATTCCAACATTTCATCGGCATCACCAGTTGAAGTACAGCCATCAGCCATAGCACAGGAGTGACCATCAACGCCATACCATCGCTGGACAGGAATTTCCCAAAGTCCTGGATATTGGTTTTTAGGGCAGGGTCCATGTTGACAGTATTGTTCTTGGGGTACGAAATCAAGAGTGAATGGCCAGACTGGTTCTCCTCCTTCCCAGACGGAACCGGTAAACATGGAGGTATCGTAAACAAGTTTGGAATCGTAGATGGCTTTGTACATGTTGTCGCTACCAAGTTGTAAGAAGGGAACTCGGAATCCGTGGATAGCATCATATGGTACACCGGAGTTCTCGGCTAGGGCCCTTTTCATACCTTCAATCTCAGCATAAAATTCATCATAAGAAGCAGTTGCCCACCAAGTGTGAGGGAATCTGTGGGTCATGGTGTGACTAGCAATCTCGACACCCATGGCGTAAAGTGGATAGACAAGATCATAATCGGTACCATCACCAGAAACAAATAGACCACCTCGTACTGGGCATCCATTGGGGTTGTAACGGCCTGGTCGGAACAATCGCTGGAAGTAACCATAATAAGCAGCAGAGACTTCATCATCAAAGGTGAGCATAACCATTTGTGGTGTATCTTTTGGTGGCATACCATTTGGGATGGTGCTACCAGCACAGTAACATGCGGGCAGTTGACAATTGTGGTCTCCACAAGCTGTTAATAAATCAATAAAAACTATTATAGGTACTGTATACTAGAGACCACTTTTCCCGGTGATAGCTGGTCACAGAGCTAATCAACTCACATCACGGACACCTGCTGTCACCGAAAAGAGTAATCCTTAAAACTAAAATGCCATTATTTGGATATTGCATCTGTTTGTTTATCATTTTAATTCGTCTTAATACCAAATCCAAAATATAGCATCGAATCAAAAATTATTTTTTTTTAAAAAAAATGATACAAGACTCTGATGCATCATCCAAATTGGCGTTTGTGGGACAGAATCTGCTGATTGTGAATATTCTAGAATGATATCGGTGCTTAAGAATATAAAAGCTGTGTTTATTTATTTAAAAGCGTTCATAGATAGAAATATGTGCTGATGAGCAGAAGAAAGCAGAGAGTGAAATGGTATAAATGTAAATATAAAATAAACAAAAACTAGACTAAGTTAAGTACGGGACGTTTATGTACTAAACTCGACAAGAAAAAAAATATCCAAAGAAGGTGAAGGATGGGGTGAATGACAATAAAAAAAAAATCAGAAAAAAATCACCAACACCATAAGAAAGACTACATCTAGACTTGAAAACATCTGGATTGATTGAGATCCAGGGTTGAACATACTTACTGTAATTCTCGTGTAGAGGTTTAAATAGTTTTTCCATACTTACTCTTAAGATCCGGGTTTGATCTACACCAACTCTCACTCTCAATCAACTAGCAAAATTCGAGCCACTTAAAAAATGGGGGACGACCCTATGAAATGTTCTAACGAAGGAAGGAAAAGATTATTTGAATTTGCAAAAAACCAAACCCATGAATCAAGGCATACAACACCTTAACCAACCAGTGTTTTATCTGCTTCGAAGGGGGCGGGGCTACAAACTCATGCCGGGACGAAGAAAACCGGAAGTGCCATGGTGTCTAAAATAAAAGCATTCTGGGTATGGTGTTGCCTTATATAGACATACCATTAAGCTTGGTATCTCACCAGGGTTGTCAATGTCTATGTATATGCATGTACACTATAAGGGAAGTCCTACATTATTTAGCCACTCCAAAAATAAAGCTCTCGAGTAACATCCTATCTGGTTAGATTGCATTCAGTGATAGGCTGGTACAAGACACACTCTCTCACTCCTCACCGCCTTATAAGGACTTTTAATTCTAAAATAGCTGATTATATTATATTATCCCAGCCAATGACTACCCTCTAAAACTATAAACATATAAAACACGCGTGTAGACTCGATCAAACAGCGACCAAATGCCAAAACCTATAGACCGGGCCGACAATACCTCAAAACACACTCGTGAAATTACGTACTGGTCATTCGAAAATAGCTGCAAAATTGATCACATAGACTCCGCCACCTAGTCTATTATTTTAGCAACAATTATAGAATAAAGCCAAAAAAGTGTTTTACCTCGACTACGGTACTGAACTGACTCTTAATATATTCCTGTCTAAAGTTGATCGTCTAAATAGATTCAATGTTCATAGAAGAAATCCCTTTAATTTTGAAGAAGGTAGTGTTCAAACTTTGGATGCTGTTCATAAGATTTCGTTTTACAAAATGAACAATTTCGTTCTTATTTTTTTAAGATGGTTGCGTTCAAATTTTGGATCGTTGTTCATAAAATTTCGTTTTACCAAATGAACAACTTCGTTCTTATATTTTAAGATTGTTGCGTTCAAATTTTGGATCATTGTTCGCAGAAATGCATTAAAGTCGTGAGTCATTTGTCGTGCACATTTATTAATTAATTCCAATTCCTTCTATCAACATGCATCAGTGAAAATCAACTTTAGATCTGCACCGTTTGATTAATCCCTAATTTACCAAAAACCAGAAACCAACAACTAAATAATAATGCAAAGCAAAAGCCCCGAAACCATGGTGAACGATTCTCAAAAATACAGAGTATAGCAGCACAATAGGATCAAAACATTTTAATCATGTTAAAAAAAGGTTAAAGGTTATCACGGGGTGTAAGCTTGTTAAGATATTAATAGTCACGATACAAGCAAAGTAACAACACGAAGAAAGAAAATAAATCAACACGAAAGCGAAATAACTGTTAGATATTTTAGAATATTGCGAAAACTGTGAATATATATAAGATACAAACAATAAAAGGCGCGAGTTTTTTTTTGTTAATTTAGGATTAATAAAATGTGTTAGATTTGTTAATTTGTTAGAAGACAAAAAGACAACGAGTAATAAAGAAGAAACGGGTTAGTCTTGTTACAAATTCCTCCACCGTAATTTGACGTCACAATGACGACATATTCTATATATAGATTATACTCACAGGAAGTAACACCTCTCACTGTAACCGGTTTACCTAAACTAGTTTCTCGAAACCAGTAGTAGTTCTCTTTTGTATATTTTTGATACGTTACGGTTTTGTTTCATATGTTTTACCTTGAATCACGATTAATCTACTGTATTTTGCAAAAATATATTAAAAAGTGCAGGTGGTTAAATACTGTAACAATTTGTAGACATTACTTAAAATGTCGCCTTGTACTTACCTGAAATATAAAAGAGAGAAAAAGAAAAGATTGATTAATAAGTAGTTAAGATAAGATTTGATTTATCAATACGCCCATTAAGAGCAGCAAACAGTGAAATATACATAGTCATAGTCATCATATTTGGACAACTTAAAGACCAGTCAGGGTAGTGGACTTTTAAAAAGGAGAAATATTATGCCTATGTGACTGACATTCCCAGGGCATAAATAACCCCAGCACATCCTTCATAAGCACAAGAGAAGGGAGAGAGAGAGAGAGAGAGAGAGAGAGAGAGAGAGAGAGCGAGCAGCGAGTTTAACGTCCACTCGACAGAAACTAGGTTATTTCGGGACTAGCATAATATGGTTCAATTTTATTTGAATAATTAGCTTGCGCGTAGGGATCTTTAGCAGTGGGAGGAAACCGGAGGACCCGGAGAACCCACGAGGTTTGACAGGCGACCCTACTCCTTGTCACATACAACCGGAGACTCGAAACCACGCCAGTTGACTCAATGACAGACCCAATGATACAACGCGCACGCGCTAACCACTCGGCCACCCTAACCCCTTGGAAGGGAAATGCACACGGTCCTTAAAGTCCTTAACGCTGATCTCGACTCAAACCAATTAAATAATGTGATTTTTACTCGAGAATATAAATTATAATCATGATGTCAGTTTAACAACCACCTACTAATAAAACAAAACAACAATCGGTCCTTTCTTTCTGACGGACCAATTAGTCTCGGTCACCCAGAACATCCTAGTCTTCAACATACGGATAGTCTGGGACCGTTGTCAATATTTTTCTGGATGATAGAGACTAACGGACCAATATACCAATATCCGATGTCAATGTTAGAAACAAGATGGCTAATAATTAATCACGTGACATTGTTAGAACTCCCGTGTGTATATTTCTATTAACACAAATGTTAGAGCAAACATATGACTCGGCAAGAGCCTTAAATTCGTTTGTAAACGAATATAGTTTAATATCAAAAGTTCTGTAACTTTTGTACTATAAAACCGATATTTTCCCGTTTGGAAACGAATGTCATTTAATTTTAACAATATTGTAACTTTTTGTACTATTAAACCGATATGTTCCCGCTTGGAAATGCATGTAGTTTAATTTCAGCAGCTCAGTAACTTTTCTGTACTATAATTTTGTTTGCCCCAGTCTGTTGGTCGAGTAAACAATTTCTTGCGTTTAATCTCTCGTTTATACAAATATATATACCATAGGTTCTATAGAACGCCCAACAACATTGTCGAACACATAACTTGGGGCATACTTTAAACGGATTGATGGTCAATGATGAAACATTGCCGGCACATTCTAAAGGTGGTGGCAACCCCGATAACATTGTCGAACACATAACACTGGGGACATACTCTAAACAGACTGATGGTCAGTGATGAAACATTGCCGATACATTCTAAAGGTAGAGGCCACCCAACAATATTGTCGAACGCATAACACTGGGGACATACTCTAAACATACTGATGGTCAATGATGAAACATTGGCGATACATTACACAGCACAGCAATACATAGGCAGAACAAATAATGCACGCTATAGGACATAACATTATTACCAATACAAGAATACGATACAACAAAACAGAGAAAGGACAAATAAAACTGTAGCAAGGGGAATCCAAATTTTATAATCTATGACACTCGACTTTACAAAATTCCACCACGAACAGTTGTTTTTAAATTTCAAAAAGATTGTTAGATGCGTGATAATTCAACATGTCCTGCCCACGACACAAAAACATGATGAACTGTTTGTAAACGAAGGAAAATCTTAAGCCATCTGTGCAAGTACAACCTTTGTCCCAGGCTTAAGGACCATCTCTAAACAAACTTGTTAGCCCTCTTTGGCATCACTGAGGTTAATCTGCTTGCCAAAAACTAGCCAAGCCCACATTCTCAAAATAAATCCAAGTGACATAATTGGCAGTCCTTTAAAGAAATTGTTTTTTTGCGAGGGATTAGGATTTGAGCCGGAGATTACATGAATATAACCGCCGCTGATCAAGCTATTAGGATTTATTATTATGTACAGTTGAGATTTTTTTTTTCACACTGCGCCACCTCGTCAATATTTATTTAATGTTAAGAGAGTAGTCTAAAAATTGAGTTCAATAGGAATATTTGTAATACTCAACACTACATTGAGAGAGTTTAGCCAAATGATGCCATGACCGCCATTTGGTTAACTAATCGGTAAGTTTAATGTCAACACTCGAACAAAACAAATATCAAATAATAGGAGTGTAAAAACGAACGGAAAGAATTGAACTGAACTGAAATTAATTTAACGTCCTACATTTCCGCACCGAACATTAAATTTTTTTCTAGAATTAAACTTTGGTCGCTCTAGGAGTCTGACTAACAGCGTCAGTGAAGAGAATGGATCGGGGTGGGTGGAGGGGGTAAGCATTTTTAGAATTAAACTGTGGTCGCTATAAAACCTAATTAATATCGTATTAGTGAAGGGCAGGGAGGTTACGTATTTATGTCAAGGCACAAACTAGAACGATATACACCATAATCTGTTTCTAGTGAAAAGTGGGTCTATCGTCTGATAGATCATGGATGAGAATTAGTGTCATAAAAAAAACCTCACAAATTTGCTGATTTGGGTTTCTAAGGAATAGGAGGAGTTTATCATCTGATAGACCATGGACTAGATGTTAGATAAGTAAAACAATGGCCTAACAACTTGTTAAATACAACCCAGTCTGTTCTGGCACGTCCTTGGCACTAAACCTATACCCACTAACAATGGCTGTTTGTACTTTAAACACTGAGACCATACAGTACAAATAATTAACCACTGTCCTCACCCCTTTCTTATAAAAATATTTAACAAATGTTGTTAACGAATCCGATTAAACATCATTCAGTATTACATGTCCGGTTTCCGTTTCTCAAAATGTATTTTAATTAATAGTAGTTCAAGCAATATCTAACTAGAATCTCGCTTATTTCTGTTTTTATAAACACCGTCTTGGTTTTCGTTTTTATTAAACATTTAGTCCGTTACTGGGTCCCTGAGTATTACATATTGTTTGTCAAAATGTATTTAATTTATTATGGTTCAAGCAACATTTAACAATATCCTGACTTGTGTTTTAAACAATATTTAGACAATATTAAGACCATTACTGAATGGACCATATAAAACTTAGGCTGCCTGTTAGCTCTGCTTAAGAACAGACACTAAGTTAGTTGACTGACACTTTGAGTCCCAAATCGACGGTTTAATTCGAAGACTTAGAGAAGATTGAGAAGTATTCCGCTTTCATGTAATTAAATTGAAAACGTTATTTAATCGTTGTGTGAAATGGAGTAGTACCGCATTATTAAATATCATACTATTTTAAAAAAAATAATTTTTGGATATGGCGGCCATTCACGGCAGAGATCTATTCTAGAAGTAGGAAGTCTCTGAATATTTAGCATCATTGTGTTAAGTGCACGTTAACCGCCATTTCTGTCTGTCGGTGTTTTGAGGACTACGCTACCTATAACGTTCATTGAACTTTTATATTATTAAAATAACGCAGGATATTTTCACGGAATTTGAATATTTAACAAAGCCCTATTTTAATCTTTAATAATCCAGTTAACAATCTGTGTTTTTTCTCCTATTAAACATCAGACATTGAACATTATCGTTGATTTATTATAAATATTGTCGTCTACATTCCTGTCTGGCTAGGTCAGCAGGTCACTAAGTAAAGTAAAAAGCCCCCGCGTCTTATTCATCAAATTTCCGCTAAGATTAGGGATAAGCCAAATATTACATCTAATCTACAAAGTTTTTTTTTAACGATGACGTTTAAGAAAAGAAATCCACTTCCTTAAAGATTCATTATGTAAGATTTAGATAAAGATTTGGTCGTTCTTACTATAATAGTTAAAAGATGGATATTGCAAAATGAATATATTAAAATTGTAATCAAAAGTACTGGGCCAAATGTGCCTCATAGCACGTATAACTCGATTGGTGTGGAACAATAGGCGGTTAAACCCATTGTAAATGGTTTGAGATAACCGATGTCGAAAAATCGGGAGATAAAAATGAAGTGATTCCGGCATCTGCTGAACGAGGACATTCTAGTTTTAAACACCCTAAAACAAGAGACAGTAACGAGATCGTCCTACACACGTCCTAAAAGTCATATCACTTCGTCATGTCACGAACAACTATTGTAATAGCTAGGGTGACGTCATGTAAGTCATTTATTGACAAGGTGTGAAACTTGTAGTTGGTGATGGTTGTCCTTGTACAGGAAGGTAATACAAAAGATGAGTTAAAGTGTAACAATGATCAGTTAAAGTACATTTAGTATTAATTGATGTTTGAATCGCCATGATTAGGACAATGAATACAAGACTAGACACTTCATAAAACGAGGCGAATGTAGACTCGAATTGCCCAGACAGCGACGCTGTCCTACCTTGTCTCGGGTGGGGATTGAATGGGGTTACTACGGTCTCGTTGGGACCTGAATTCGGATTCCCAATACTGCCGAGAAGATCCATTGAGATGTTTAAACCATACCCAATG